TCCTGCCTTCCCATGATATGCCCAAAGTAAGACAGACTCCGTTTCAACCTTTTTGCTTCCAGAGAGCATCCAGGCTTGATTTAATCTAGCACCCACTGGTTTGTCTTTCTGGCAGTCCAGAGTATCTCCAAAGCTCTCCTCCAGCACCACATTTCAATCAAATTAAAAAAAAATTTCTCTGGCAAATGGCAACCGTTTTGGGTTTCCCCCCCAGCCAGAGGTAAAAGGTGGTGCAGAGAGTCGTGGAGATCACTGGGTAAGATCTCCAAAGGAGCCAGACTGAGAGAAATGGATCAATTGATTTGCTTGCATGTATTTTATTTTATCGTATTTTAATTCCCCATAAATAGTTGGCCAAAATGGTTGCTGACCCATTAGGCATCACCATTTCCATGAAGTCACACCTCCACTGAAGGCGGGCATGGGACTTCGCAGCCGCCCTCGGATGGTTCAGCTGGTGGGGAAGGATGACAGTCATCATCACAAAAGACTCTTCCATTGCATGGAAATATTGACCTGCTTGCTGTGCCTACCAGAGCAGTAGTGGGATGGAAGAAGAGGACATATGATTTTCCCACCTTCAGCAACAATATATTACTGTGAACAAACCCTGCTATTATGCAGAGTATTTTTCAGTGCCTTGTTTCCTTTAGGCCATTGGGACCCATTAGCTTTACAAAAGACTCCCCTGTGGAAATAAAAAAAAACCACAAGAGCTCATTTTGTGATATGGCTCAACACATCTTCCTACTTTTTAAACACTTTTGGTAAGTGCAGCCATTAGGTCAGAATGTGCCCGAAGCTGTCCATTTACTATGGCTGTACAGTCGGTCAGTGGCATCCACAGGATCAGCACCTGCTCTTTCACTTACCTGCAGCCTGAAAATATTAAATGCCCACCACTGAAATAGGGGTTTCCAAGGTGTGTGTATAGGGTTTGCTTTATCCGCGATTTTCAGCATCCACAGATGTCGCAGTCCTGCTGCATTGGTTGGATTACAACTGTTGCCTCTGTGGGGTGGATGATGGAAGCTAAAGTCATCACTTAGTTCAACCATCTAGTTTTGCAGTCGCTTATTTAAACTGCATGTCCTTCCAAACACGTTGAACCACGACTCTCCTCCTGCTAACAGGACCGCTGGCTATGATGACCGAGTGGATGGAAGCTGAGAGTGATGGAAACATGATGTTTGGTGATGCTGACTAAAGGTGATGCAGCTCTTCAAGTCCAACCCCTGGTTTTATGGTACCTTTAGAAGCACAAATGGCCATGACAGTCCCCCCCGGATGAGTTTGCTTTCAAGTTTTAACCATGATCCACCTTAAGAACAACGGAGCAAGACCGAAACCAAAGATGTGGAAGGAACGCCTTTTAGCCGTAGTTGGACTACAATCCCCATCATCCCTCACCATTTTGCTGTGCTCCCTGAGGGGAGTTAGGGGTCTAACAACAAAGGCCTATTTTTTGTGGTACGAAGACTGGGAAGAAGGCAGGGCCAGGCTCACTCTGAGCCCTGGGTCGCCTTGGGCCAGTGGCCTCTCTTTTGCATTAATCTACCTCGCAGGGCTGTTTTGAGGATAACACTGGCTCGAGGGGAGAATTTTGCACCGCTCTGCGCTTCTCGAAGGCAAGGCGGGGCAGAAATCTCCAGAAGCAAACAAAACAGCTGGCCTGCGTCTTGCAGGAAAGGCCTTTCGGATCCCACCACGACCTCTGAGCGCCTGTTTCGGGAGAGGAAGGGCAGATCATTTCCCAGCCTCCTTCCATGTTTTCACCCCGAGCAATCCTCAGAAGCTCTTTCTGCTCCGAAGACAAGTCCTCCTCCTCCATTTTATAGGCAGAGACAGATGGATGCCGAAATTGCGGCGGTCAGCTCTTGGATCGAATTCGCCTGCTTCGGGTCTCTGGGACAGCTGGGCCCTTCAAAACAGCTCGGGGGGGTGGGGGTGGGTAAACCTGATATGTAACCCTAGAGCAGAGCTGCTAAATATAAGAGACGGAGTGAGGCTGGTGGACATTTATGCAGAAGGCTGTGGGGCACTTCCTCCGCCTCCCGAGCTTCAGAGGATCCTCAACACGACAAAAAACCATCTAAATAATGGGCCAACGGGACGAGAGATGTTAGTAACACGGAAGGTCCCACGTGGCTGCTTTAGGATGGACAGAATAAGACCCCAATCGTGTGGGCGCTGTGGGGAGATGGCTCGCTCTCCCATGGCTACAAGGGAATTTGCTTAAATGATTCAGATCAATCGGGAGGTAAAGCCTGCATGAATGACAGAGAATTTAAACCTGCCTGTGGTTATGGTTTCTCTGCCCTTTCACAATTCACGCCATAGCCCCACCGTAAGGCTTTCTGCCTCCCCAGGGGCAGACCTCAAGAAGGTCGCCTTTCCGGGGAGAGGCAAGAGACATCGGTGGATAAAAAGGATCAGGCAGCAGAGCAGGGGGTGGGATCAATCTCTCCTCGCCTGAGATCCTGTAGAACGGGAGCTTGGCAATTTTTCCAGATCTGGAGTAAGGTGGATCCCTTTAGAAAAAAAATGTACAAATTGCAGGCTTTCGGGAATCAAATCCCACTGGATCCACAAGAGGCGATCCACGAAAGATTGCAAGCTGCATGATTCTTTAAAGGGGTTCAATAAAATGATCGCCTTACTCTTCCATTTGTGTAATCCTGAACCACAAGGCCTTTTCCTTCTGTACCTTGCCGGATGGCAGAGCCCAGCATCCTTCACCGACAAGGTCTCTTGACGAGGGTGGATTGAAATCCAAGAGTATCTTGGAAGCAGAGGAAACTTGTGGAGCAGGATTAAAGCCCACCTGGACCCATGATTTTTGCAAGAAATCACAGCCTGGGCCGTTCCTATTTGGAGGGCTGAACTCGATCACCATTAACAATTAACACACATCTTCTGCGAGACAGCCTCCAGCGTAACCATAATCCATTCCATATAAAGCCTACACAGAACGAAGGCAGTTGAGGCATGAGGCCAGAGCATCCCATAATATGCACCAGAGCAATCCTGGATCCCAGATCACAACTTCCGTCCGCCGAACCCCGTCCAAAAATCATTGGGAGAAAAGATGCAGAAGGTGGTCTTTGGTTGCCAGACTGAGCCGGCTGATGGTCTTTAGACCAACAAAAAAGAGCAAACATGTTTCCAGTCCTCATGACTGGGAAGAAATAGGTGAAAGAGAAATGCCAGGTGGAATCGGTGGGCCGAATACCTCGTTTTCAGCGATCAGAAGCCCTCCCACCACCGGAAAGGGCTTTGCCTCGCCAGATTGAGCAGCAAACAGCAGCCAACACCTTCCGCAGCCCTCCTGCCCCAACAGAGCCTGTTTTAACAGCAGATTGTTGCACTCCAGGCTCCCCACTGTTTGGGCACACTTTATTTCCGTTATTTTTCTTGCACCCCTTGCCCCTCACCCCTCCACGTGCATGCCTGGGGCCTCCACTGGCGGATCATCATCTCTTGGCCTGCTTAGCCAGCGGCTGCTGAAACCTCTGGTTCTCTCCAGAGGCTGGCTGGGTGCCCAGCACCCGAGTCGTAGGGAGGGGAGGAGATTCCGCTGGAGACAACAGTCCTCCGCCTCGCCTTTTCCTGCTCTGCGTAGGTGCTCTCAGGCTGTTCGTGGGAGCCGAGGCATCTCCGGGGGTGAAATATCACCCAGGGAAGTTGTTAAACGGAGTCACTCGAAGAAGGGGAACAGGTCGGATTTAGCCTCCAGAGGCTTCCCAAGGCATCAATTTCCAGCACAGGTGCAACAACATGTGGTTTGCTTTCCTGCGCAGTCTGGCATCTGCTTTCCTCATCAACCCAATTTCCAGCACAGGTGCAACAACATGTGTTTGCTTTCCTGCCCAGTCTGGCATCTGCTTTCCTCATCACCCCCGGGATCTTCTTCTCTGCATCACAGAAACCTCCACCTTCTCCTTTCCTTCTCTTGGCCTTCTCGGAGGTGGTTTGGCTTTGGTCAGTGTCAGAGACGGGGAGTGGCGGCAGGAGGACTGTTGTATCCGCGGGGGATCGGTTTTCGAGACGCCTCGAAACGCAGAATTATTAAAAGTTATATATTCCGTGGTCTCTGGCTCCCGCCAGTGGCCAGTTCTTATAAATACATCCTAGAAATACATGGAAATCTATCTTTCCAGGGAGGGTATTTAGAATTTTCAGGGGGCGGGTAAGTGGATCCGCGGATACTGATCCCGCGGATAAGGAGGCTCAACTGTACTTTTTGGACTATGGCTCCCAGAATACTGTAGCCATGATAGCTAGAGTATTTTGGTATTTGCAGTTTTTCTGCCCCAGTAACTAAAAGTCTCTGGTCAACGTTGGAAAACATTACCGAAGAGTAGCTGCAGGAGTTATTTGAAAAAGAGAGACCACTGTGGCAGCTGAGCAAAAACTAAAACGCTGAGCCCCGGAAAACAAGAAAAACTTCACAGGTCATCTCAGCACATAATATTTTTTTTAAAGAAGGCTGCTATGACTCGCCTTGCTTCACGACAGGCAGAAGTTCAACGGATGAAGTCTTCTGCTTTTGGACGGTGACTCCCTTGGTCCGTCCCTTTGGCAGAAATGCCACTGGACTGCCACAGGGAGAGAAGCTTCCCCTGTTGAATCTCTGCCTGTCGTGCAATATCGTAAAGCCCATCATCCTGAGCACAGCCACGAGGTCTACAGGTTAGACTCCAACTCCCATAATCCGCGATTAAGGGAGTTGTAGTTCCCCCAAAAGGAAGGTTAGCCAGCCTCGGCTCGGAGCATGTGCAGAGTTCCTTCTCCCTCCCGCTCGACTGCCTCGAACCGCCTGCGGAACCTCCGAGGACTAGGAGCGCACGGTTTAAAAAAAAAAAAAGGGGGTCGCGGTCGCTTTAATTCCGGCAAACCGGCGCCCTCCTCCGCCACGCCCCCCTCGGCCCGCCTCTGCCGCAGAAAGGCGCATGCGCGCAATGAATCCTCCCCGCCCCTTCCGGCCTTTTTCCGGAAACGGAAGTGGCTCCAGAGGGGCGGCGGAGTGAAGGAGGCGGGAGTCGCGGCGGTTGTCCAGGGAGACTCGAAGGAGGGGAACGGAAGAAGCCCGGCGGCCGGTGAGAAGGGAAAGGGAAGGGAAAGGGAGGCTTTCCTTGGGGAGGAGGAGGAGGAGGAGGAGAGGGAGGGCTCGGAGCCGCCCCGTTCCCGTAACCTTGGGCGAAGGTGAGCGGCGGGCTTTTCGAGGCAGCGAGACCTTCTCCGGAGCATGTGCAGAGCGCAGCCCCTTCCGCCCTCCCGCGCCATTCCTGCGGTTATTGTTTCTCTCCTCCCGGGAATACAGCGGCGGCGGCGGGGGGGGGAGGAAATATATGTGGTTTTTTTTTTAATTTAACCTCCCCCGGGGGGGTCCCTCTCTTGGCCACCGGCGCCCCCGCGAGCTTTCCCTCTCGCTCCCCCCGGGTGGAGTGGGGGGGCCGTCCTGCGTGGGGCCGAAGTCGCCAAAGGCAGAAGGGGAGGGGGAGCCCCGGGCGGCCTCTCCAGACTATGTGGTTTTTTTTTTAATTTAACCTCCCCCGGGGGGGTCCCTCTCTTGGCCACCGGCGCCCCCGCGAGCTTTCCCTCTCGCTCCCCCCGGGTGGAGTGGGGGGGCCGTCCTGCGTGGGGCCGAAGTCGCCAAAGGCAGAAGGGGAGGGGGAGCCCCGGGCGGCCTCTCCAGACTCTCGGGCGGCGAGTAATCCCAAGGGCACTCCGGTATCATTGCAGTAAATGAGGGGGGGGGAATCCCGTATCCGGGCGGGGAGGAGGGGGATAAGTTCCAAGCCACCCTCCCGCTGAAACCGCGGATGATAGCGAACGCTTTTTTAAAATACAGCAAGCATTATACATACAGGTGTCTAATGGTCTCTGGCTCCCTCTCTTGGCCAGTTCGGTTAACTTCACCTTCGGAAATACATCGTTCTAGGATTTTTCTCTTAATACGTTTCATATTTTCAGACCGTAGATAAAACGAATCAGCGAATCCTGATCCTGCTACAGTATATTGTCACCAAAGCTGTTATAGATTAGAAGGACACACACACACACACACCCCTTTGTCAGCTGGATGCCTTGTTGCTCTTCTCTAGCAGAGGCGGCAAGCTTTTGGGGGGGACATTGATTCTGTTTCACTCCTCCAGGAGGCTCAAGGTGGCCTCCGTCATTCCCCACCACCATCACCATTTGATCCTCGTGACAACCAGGAAGCTCTTCCTGGCTAAGAGATGGGCATTCCCGGAGTTTCAGGGCAGGGCATGATTTGGAACTCTGTGTGTGTGTGTGTCTGTCTGTGTCTTGCAGGCCTTCCTCTCTGCAAAGATGGACCTGCAGCTGACTCCACCATGAGCAAAGGTGCTTCATGGCTGCAGCCAGTGACCTGTGCCCATTTCCGGCATATAGCATCCTGGAGGAGGAAAGTGGGTGCCCTTCCAGACGTTTGCGGGCTGCAACTGCCGTCAGCCCACCACTGGCGTAATATGATGAGACTTGCAATCCAGTGGTGTATGGAGGGCCATAAGGTGCTCACCAGTGACGCAGGTTGCAGGCAGACCAATCCATGGCCCCTGTCCACATTTTTATTTTGGCTTTCCCCTAACTGAAACTTCCTACATTTTGTGGTTCCCTGAGGTCATGTCTTGAATATGCTCTGCCTTCATTAGGCTCTTCTTTTTGTGTGTCTTTGTTTTAAAGGGGAAGTTTGTGTTTCCCTGGAGTGCATGTAGAAACCACTCCTTTAATCCTTGGTGGCCCTTCAGTTTCCCAGCTGATGGACACTGGACCTCCTAAAGATCCTATACATAGTGCATGCGGAGCAGTAGGCTCTAATAATTCTGCAAAAATGAAAGACAAGTGCAAAATAAGCTCTGTGAGAGAGAGAGCGATTAGCTGAAACTCATACAGTGAGCTTTCTGGCTAAGTGGGCTTTAGGTGGATGTCTTCTCTTGCCCTAATCTGGCCCTCTTTAGCTGCTGCACCATCCTCGTTCTGTTTAGTAGAAAAGGAGATGTGTTTATCTTTGTCAAGGGTTGCCTATGTTTCTCCATTCTTTAAAAAAAAAGGGTATCTGAAGGTTACTTTCTCTTTTCTCGTGTTTCTTGGCCATATGTTTTCTAATGCTGTGAAACTTTTTCTCTCTTTCCTGCACATTTGTAAACATTGCTTTTTTGCTTTGGTGAATGAAGATGAAGCTGCCTCATGTTAAATCAAGCCTATCTAGGCCCAGAGGTGAGGAGTCTCCAGATGTTGATAAACTGCTACTCCGGTCATACAGTATTTGACTGGGTTGGCTAGGGTTGAGTTCCACAGTGCCCAAAGGGTCATTGCTACCTTTTCTGTTACGATTCACAGCCACTGTCCAGCGTTTCAGCTAGATGTGGCAACTAGAATCTTTTGTGCTACACAGCTGCAGCCTCACCTCATTTTTAAATCAATTTGATATTATGAGTTTATCGTTTTAGTCTGCTTTTCCACCAAGCAGCTGAAGATGGTCTAGCCATGATCCCCCTGCCTCCACTTGTCCTCAAAATGACCTTGTGAAGTGGGTTATGCATAGATAGCGCAACTGGCTTCAAGGGTAACCTCATGGACTTCCTTGCTGGAGTGCCATTGACAGAACGGAAATTGATCTTTGGTTGCAGTTAGTTGAGTTCAGGCTCTTGTACTTAACTTACTGCTCTCTCCAACAGAGAAAGGCTCAAAAAGAGAGCCTTCAACATTCTCCTGTACTGTTCAGATAAATCGTTCCACAGGCTGTATACAGAAGTGCAGTTACTGGAAGGTGATTAAATTTTTATCTGCTGTAGCATTGCTCTAGCCACCAGGTTATATTTCTTTTATTAATGATTTTATACTAATTAAATTATTTTATCAAAGATTTTAAACATTCTTAGCTGTTAATTTTAAAGATTATCAATGCTTATGCTGCAAAGGTAATTAGTTACACTTCCAAAGTGTTTAAAAAGTAGACTTCATTTCATATATTTTTTCACCTGGGTAATTTTTTTATGCAGTGTTGTAAGCAGAATTTTTTTAGCAATAAACATAGAATCCACGTCTTACCAGCATAAAGTGACACTGGCTCGTTTCACTTTTTCCAGGCTCAGTGTGACATGACCAAATCATTTTTTTACAGAGACCACCAATCATTTCCTTTCTTCCCATGCTTAATAACATTGTAGATCTGTGGCCAGGGCCTGTTGCCCATCTCTGCATCCATTTTGTGACACCGGTTTGTTTTGACACGTAACTTGCAGGGTTTAGACTGAACCTTTTTCCGTCCAGAATCTGAAAAGAGATGGGGAACACAAGCAGCGAGCGGGCCGGCGTGGAGCGCCAGGGAGGCCACAAGACTTCCAGGAGAGACAGCTCTGGGGGAACGAAAGACGGAGACCGGCCAAAGATCTTGATGGACAGCCCCGAGGATGCGGACTTGTTTCACTCTGAAGAAATGAAGGTATACGAGTCTTGACGTTGGCCCACATCATTGGGAAAACATGGCTTTGAAAGCAGAAACAGGTGTGCAGGTCTCTTGAATTTGCCCACACCTGACCCTGAAAGTCAGTGATGGGGAGCCAGCCTGGCCCACTTGGGGAGGGAGCTTGGGGGGGGGCTGTTACCTTCAGGTCTCCACCTTGAATCCCCACCAGCTTCATCTTTTTGGAAGGTAAGAAGCCCATCAGGGCCTTGCAAGTCTCTCATTTATAATTTTCAATGACACCCAGAAGCCACTGGTAATGGTGCGGCTAAAAATACTGTACATAAATACTGTAAATAAGATCATTCAAGGTTGAGGGTGGTTTGTTGCTTGTTTCCAGGCCTCCATGGAGAAAGATGAATTCTTGGCCTGGCAGCACGATGAGGAAGTGAAAGATAAAGCCCCCACTCAGGCCCGTCCAACCGTCTTTCGCTGGACAGGAGGCGGCAAAGAAGTCTATTTATCAGGCTCTTTCAATAACTGGAGCAAACTTCCTCTGACACGGAGGTAAGTTCACGGCTCAGTTCTGTGATGCCTCGTGCGTGATCTCGCTCTTCGGGCCACAGCCCATCCTCTGTCTACGTAACCGCAGGCTCACCCCAGTTGGAAGAGCCTAGGAACCGCTGCTGGCCGTGGAACAGCTTTGAAGGATATTTGCTCAGCTCTTTCGTAGCAAACCCCAATTCTGTCTTTTAAGGGTTATAATACAGTGATGGCCATCGTTTTAAAAAAACCCTGCCAAGGAGTTAGGGATGCATAGAGTCCTCCCCTACCCACCCAATTATTTTGGCCCCACATTAAGGTTTTTGGATGTTTTACTGCTTACGGTTTTGACTTTGGGAGTGGTGCTGTATCTGCCAGATCTGAGGGGGGATTGGCCCCAGACCCACTGAACTGGACGACCTCTATTCCAGAGGCCTGGTAGGTGCTGTGCTTTTGAGTCATAGCCTTCCCCCATGTTTAATGATACGCTTCTTACCATCGACAACAGAGTGACAGCTGGAAAACACCTGGTGTGCAAATAAATATCAGCGCTAAGTGCCCATTTTAGCTGGCAGGCAAGAAAAGCTGCAAGTGATGTGGGATTTCTGATTTATTTTTCTCACGCCTAGATTTAGTTGGGATTTGATACAGCTTGTTTGATATAAAGTTAGTAAGCAAAGCTCTAAAAAGTATACTGTACTAAGCGCACACACTATATACATAAATATCTCAGAAGCTTTTTCGGTAGCTGGAAGTCCTTGAAGTGTTTCTGTGGGTGGGAGGATTAGTAAAGAAACTTTGGTGTAAACATCACACTCAAGTTATTGAACTTTAATTCTGAAATAAAATGAATGCCCAATGAGGTGTGATATATCAACAGATCCAGTTTTATTTTTTTATCTTCAGGATGTATCTCTTGAGGAAGATACTGAAACATTGCATATGCCTTAGCAGGAGCCCATGTAACTGTTGCATCTAATTGGATGTAAATTCACCCCTCTTTATGAGTGAGGGAATGAGTAGATGATGGGTTACGATACATATCTGAACAGGGAACCTTTCTTTAGCCCAGGAGCTGAATTCCAGTTTGGGAGTCATGTTGGGAGGCTGCCTGTCAGCAGCAGGAGGGGCTGAGCCAGGCTGAACAGAAAGAACCCTTTGGGGATGTTTTCCCCCGCCCAATATGCAAAGCAGGTTGAGAATGGCTTTTCTAGACTTGTAGACTATTATAATATATGTTTGTGTTATCTTATTGTAAGCCACCCATTTATTGTAAGCCACCCAAAGTACCAGCCTGGCCACTAGATGGACAGCACAAACATTTAAATAAGTAAGAATAAAAACTAGGCAGGAATTTCTGCCTAAGGAGGATTGTTACTCTCCCGCCTCCCACATTGGAAAGGGGGCTATCTCCTGGGGGGGGCTGTCCCTCTCTGGGGGATTGAGAGCCGGTCTCTCTGAAAGGTAACCAGCCACATCACATGGTTTAGCTGCATTCCAGTCAATACTGAGGATCCAGTCTTTGAGTCCCCAGGACTGCAGACTGCAAAGTGACATTTCGAAGAGCTGCTCTAGGCATGGCCCATGGGGTTAACTGCAGACCTTCCCTGTGTCGGGTACCTGTTTTGACATGAATGGTGTTTTTTCCCCCCAGCTGTCATCTGCAACTGGGCCTGGGCAGGAGATGATCTGTGGCCACCTTTTCCATTATACGCCCAGCCCTTTGCCAAAGGCTTCGGACGGCCTGGAGGAGGGCCGCAGTGCTATTGCTCTGGTCTTGCTTGCAGGAGGAGGCCTGGGCCTCTCCATTGCTATATTTCAAGATGGGAATTCTGTAGAATTTTTTTAAAGGGTAGTTTGCAGAATCAACTAGGCACCTCCTCAAATTCTGGTCATACTTTGAACCTCTTGAAAGAATGATGGAAGAACTGTCTCTCTCTCTTTCTTTTTTACAGCCAGAATAATTTTGTAGCAATTCTTGATCTCCCTGAAGGTGAACACCAGTACAAATTCTACGTGGATGGCCAGTGGACACATGATCCTTCAGAGGTAACGTTTGGCAATCCTATGGCCGCGGTGAGGGGCCGGGTCTGCCATGCTTTGATTTCTCTGGACTTGATAGCTTGACAGGTGAATGCCTAGACTAAATAGCTGTGGAGGCCCCCACCCCCCTGTTTAATTGCCCCTTTTGCCCTCGAAGGGCCACTTCCATCCCGTATTTAACTTATGAATCCCTAAACAGTTTGGGGCCAAGCTGTCTCAAAGATTACTTCTCCTACTGTGAGCCGGCTCAGGTGGTAAGATCATCAGGAGAGGGCCTGTCCCTCCATGACTGGCTGCCTTAGAGGGATTTTTAAATGGGTTGTTAAACCTTACTTCCTCACATGCATTTTTAGTAATACTTGTGTTTACCATTTCTCAGAGTGGTATGTGTGCACTCCTTTTAAATATTTGCATACATTGTTTTTAGCGCTTTAATATTGCTTTTAATGATGTAAACTGCCTTTTTATACTCATTTTTCTTTAAGTATTGTCTTTTAGTGATGGAAACCACCATTGTATACTCATTGTTTTCCGCTCTAAATGTTGTCTTTCAATTACATAAGTCGCCTAACATCATTTTAAGGAGAAAGGCAGGGTAAGAACATTCTAAATAAATAAATAAAATCAGTAAGTTACCAGGAAGTCATTTCTAGTTTAGGAAAAAAAAGGTGTATTTAATGACTGGGAAAAGATGCACTTTTGCTCCTGTAAGGCCTTAAAATAGATAACCATACCTCACTCCCAGAGATGGGATGCTCTGTTTTTTTTTCCCCTCCCCAAATATTTTTGTCATCTTGAAAAGTCGCATACTTGGGGCATGAACGTTGAGCGGTAGTGAGGAAACTCTGCCCTTCCAGAGATGTTTTGATGACAACTCCTGTTGTCTCTGTATTGGCTAGCTGTGGGTGATGGGAAATGGAATGCAGTAATGTCTGGATTGCTGATTCCCTCTCCCTGGTCCATGGCAATAATTCTGCAGGGGCTCATCTGTCCTGGAAAGTTGCACTGAGGTGTGTGTGAAGTGGTTTTAAATAACAAGCGATACTGACTTCTCTTTGGGTAACGAGGCCCTGTTATTTCAGAAGCGGACATCGGGCCCTCCAGATGTTGTGGAACTACAACTCCCATCAGCCCTAGTAGCACAGTCAGTGGCGAAGGTAGTCCCACATCTGGAGGGCTCACACCTGGCCTAGATAACACAGCCTCTTAACACTTCAGGAAAGCTCAGGTATGGAAACTGGGCTAGGCATGCCAAGCTCTGCAGTGAGAAGAAGCATGCGAGTTCCTGTTCTTGCCCATGTTCTACCTACTTATCTGTTTCTTCCTAGCCTGTTGTGACCAGCCAGATGGGGACTGTCAACAACATTATTAATGTGAAAAAGACAGACTTTGAAGTTTTTGACGCGTTGATGGTGGACTCCCAAAAGTGCTCTGACGTGTCGGGTGAGTGTCCCTGATGCGGTTCTGTACTCACGTTCATCTCCATCATGCAGGATGAGAGGAGCAGCTTGTGATTCATGGTTTAGAGTGGATCCCTGCTTTTGGCAGAAGAGACGTCACGGAATACAGTCCTCCCTTGGCAGGTGAACGCAGGAAAAACTGTCGCCCGTCTGTAACCCAGGGAATGCCCCGGAGTCTGTGTGCGGAAACAGAGCCCGAGGGCCTTTCCTGTTTTGTCCTGAACAGCTTAACAGATAACTTGTGAGGGAAGAGAAAGGCGACTCCCCCTGTGTTTGGAGTTCAGTTAGATGCCCAATCGAGCAGATCACAGCTTCCAGCTCTTCTTTGAACTTCAGAGCATTCCTTCCCCACCCCCACCCCAAATCCAGGGCAAGGATAGGCAACTGCGCCCTCCCCATGTTGACTGCAACTCTCATCAGCCACAGCGTGTGGCCAAAGGTTATGGATGATGGGAACTGCAGTTCACCTTCTGAGGAGCCGCAGATTACCCACCCAGACATAAAGGGTCTCTTTGGCTTCGCTCAACGGTGTGCCTACTCCAGTACCGTGTCAACTAGCTTCTGATGACTTATGGAGATCCCATGAATTAGTGACTATAAGAAAGGTCCTGTCCTCAATAGGCCCTGCTCAGTCTTGCAACTTAAGGCTGTGGCATCCTTTATCGAGTCATTCCATCTCATGTTAGAGCTTCCTCTCTTCCTGTTACTGCCAACTTTTCCTAGCATTATTGACTTTTGCGCTGAGCTTCATCTTCCTTTGATATGTCCAAAGTACGCTAGTTTCAGTGTAACCATTAATGTCTAGTCAGTGGTAATGAATGCTAGGAGTTTCAACTCAACATCTGAAGGAGGGGGGCTTGGGCTTTGCCCAAACTTCAAAGGAAGGAGAACTTAATCTCTTTGCTTTGAGTGAAACAGCTCGGCTCCTGCTTGTCGCTCTAATCCGAAAATTTATTTTCCAAATATCAGGAATGGCTTTGCATTTGGCTGTTCGAGCCAAAACGGTTAACATATATCCACTCTCTGGTTCTGGGCTTTGATAACAGAAATAAAGTTAGATGCTATATTTTAAGCACTACCTAAACTTCGTGCTTGCAAATGGGGTTCAGAACCAATGCATAGCAATCCTGCATTTGTCGCTGTTCTTTCGGGACCAGTTTTAAAACTCACCAAATCATTGCCAGGCCTTTTTCTTTTAAAAAAAGAACCTCATTCTTTTCCTCCGTTATAGAATTCTGGCTTAAAATCTGTGATTAAAAAAAACCCACCAAACCCTAGACACTACTAAATAGGAAATAATGTTTGTTTGTTTGTTTAAAAAAAAGGTTAACAGAGTTCATGCTCCAGCTGCCACCCTGCTTCCTTTCCCCCCCTGCAGAGCTCTCGAGTTCCCCGCCTGGGCCCTACCACCAGGAGCCCTATATCTGTAAGCCGGAGGAGCGGTTCAAGTCTCCCCCCATTCTCCCCCCACACCTGCTGCAGGTGATCTTAAACAAAGACACTGGGATTTCGGTGAGTAGTGCATTGGGTTCTTTAAAAGAAGGCAAACGGTCCAGTCAGACGAGCTGGCGAGATTCAAGCAGTACACTCATGGAAACAGGCCGTTTTTTAAATCTTCAGAGCAAGACTTTCCAGATTGAAAGGACATGCTGTGTTTTAAATTTGCGGCTTCCTCTTCTCTCTGTGAGAGATGGCAGGTTTGTCCAAAACTGTGGTCCTGTCTCTTTCCTGGGAACATAGTGGCACAGAAACTACAAATGCTTGACTTGGCTTTGAAAGGTTATTAGATGCACACCAAAATGTTTTAGCTTTCTTAAGACCTTATGCACCAGCTTTTTTCGGCAGGGTGTGTATTGTAGAGGTAATCTTGAAGAAATGAAAATATTTGACCTGGGAAACTATTGCTGCTCAGAATCATTTTTGCATGTTCGTCTGACAGGCCCACAAGAAGGAGTGGCTTATGGGTCTGCGGTTCAGCTAGTGGTGGGCAGCAATTCCCATCATCCCCAGTCCTTATAGCAAAGCTGCCTAGAGTTGGTGGGTCTTGGCAGCCCAGCCAGGTGGGGAGGGTCATACTTTGCCACCCTTGCTCTAAATAACAGCCAGCTTTAAAAGCAAAAAGCATGTTGCTTATATCCCACCCCATAACACTTAAAGCACTCTCTGGGCAGTTTACAATTTACATATTGCTCCCCCAGCAAACTGGGCACTCACTTTACCGACCTCAGAAGGATGGAAGACTGAATGAACCTCTAGCCAACTACCTGGGATTGAACCTGGATTGTGAGCAGAATTTTGACTGCAGTACTGCAGTTTAACTACTGCACCACGAGGCTCTTCCTGGTCTTTAACTGTCTCTTTGCCATTCCCCTTGTCTTTAGTGCGATCCAGCTCTGCTTCCTGAACCCAATCATGTCATGCTGAACCATCTCTATGCACTCTCCATCAAGGTAAGAAGGGCCTGCTCTTGCCCCTGCCTTTGATCCTGGGTGGAGCGGGGGCAGGCGGGGGGGGGGCTTTGGCCCTCTGCACGTTTGGAGCTGGTGATCCAAATCATCCAGAGGGATAGCAGTTCCCCGCTCCTCCATTCTGCCAACTCGGTCTTCCCACTCTTCCTCAGGATGGGGTGATGGTGCTCAGCGCTACCCATCGTTACAAGAAGAAGTACGTGACCACCTTGCTGTATAAGCCCATATGAACGGTGACGGGACACCGACAGTGTTGATGGAGCAGTGGAGAGAACAAAGCCAAAGTCTGCCCTGGGGAACAATAGAAGATTTGCTGTGAAATCATTCCTTAGTTTCTTTAAAAGAGCCCAAGTTTCTTTTAACGGTTGCCTCGCTCGCTTGCTCTTTCTGTCCTCCCGTGAACATCTCTGGAGACCATCACGCAGAGATACTTCTGGTAGCAATGAAATGTGTGACGTTCAGACTGCCCTGGAATTCCTTGGGGCTAACAAGGGAAAAAAAACAACCCAAAAAGGACCTTTACACTTGGCGAGTCTCCCGTTCAAGCAAAATACAAAAATTACACCTAGAAGAGGCCTGTGAACTGATGGTAACGGGTGCTCTGTCCTCTGACTCGTTACATTATTTCCTGCATTCTGATGGTCATAAGGAGAGGAGTAAACAAATATGCAGTGGCTTTTATTGCTGCTGCCTTCCTCAGCAACAGTGGCCTTTTTAAGCCATGTGTTAAGTCAACAGTTTGAAGCCTGTCCAAGTCAACCAGGTTTTCTCTCCTTCTGGAGAGAGTTGTGGAGCAGCCTTTCCATCTTGCAGTTCATTGTAAGTGGGTGGCTAGATTTAGGGCAGTGGGGTTTAACTGATTCGTAGCAGAACATGAACGAAGCTGGAACAAGTCTGCAGCCAAAACCCTGGGGTCCTACCAGCCCCATCAATGGTTGTTACCCTTTTCAGAAAAGCTGGATATCCCCAAACCTCCTCCTGCCTTTCCCAAAGACCGCAAGCGCCAAGGGCTGGATGCTTCCCCTCCGAGGCGGAGGCTTCAACCCAGCCTTTGGGAGCAGGCTCTCCAAGGGATCAATCCAGAATTCCATAGGGAGGGAGGCCATTGAACGGGTCAGTGCACTGAATATGTAAGGAGCCAGCTTGTGCCTTTCCCTCTTTTCTTTTCCTGTATGGTTTTGCACCTCTTCTGTTTCCTTAAAAGTCCACGGAATCCTTCAGGCAGCTCCTTCGTTTGAGCTCCAAGGGAGTGTGGCTGCACCCTTGCCAGCTCACTGCCGAAAAGGGTATTTCATGTCCACTTTGACTGTTATGTCACTGGTCTTGTTTTTTGTTATTGAAAATAAATAAATGAAGTGAATGATACGAATTTCTTTTGCAGCTGCTGACTTCATGTGGTCAAGGTAGTGCTGTAACCGACATCACGTATGCGCTACTGCTGGACAGCACAAGCGAAACTGGCCTCTCTGAGGCGTGCTTCAGCCCTCTAAGCTGCCTTGTAGGCATACTAAATGTTTCAAGAGCTCATCCTTCCACAAACTATTGAACTCATAGTGTAGCGTCAGTAATTTTAGAAATGACACAGGTGCAACAGCTTGGGGGGCTCAGATATATCAGTCATGGCTGGGAACGAGGGGTTACTTCCTGCAACTGCAGTTTTTTTGCAAGGTCATCTGAATTCCCACATAGTGGTGCTTCTGTGAACCCCCCCCCATTCATGTCCATGTGCTGAATGGCCACTGCAGTATATGAAACAGTCTTAAGTAGCATGGAAGGTTGAGGGGAAGATGGGCAGGTTGTGTGAATTCACTGATGACCACTTGGTTAATTACAGTTACAGGTAAGCAGCCTGCCCTCCTCCTCCGTGAGTCACGCATATGGATGACCAACAAGCTCCCTTGCTGGCAGGTGGGACGTCCTGCCATTACAGAAGAGGTCATTGCTATGCCAAATGTAGCATCCAGCTTGGCCCTGACATCGCCAGTCTGTAGTGGACGCGGAGCATCTTGTGGTCTTCACACGTTTCCCAGATGGGGAAGAATTTGTGCTTAAGTGCATCGTTTTCCACAGATTTAGTGGGTTTGGCCAAATGTTTGTGGTTGTGATTGGAGGGAACCTCATCTTCAGTTGGATTCTCAAGGGCTGTAGGTGGTTGTGACCTCCTCTGATGACGAGAATCACTTTTGTGCTCCTGATTCCAAGCAGCAGCAGGAGGGTGGGGTCCTGGGTGCCTTTCTTGCCCTCTTCAATTCTGACACCGACAGCATGGAGTCATCCTGACGTGGAGTCGGAATCAAGCATCAGCGTTGACAGCTTAGATGATGGAGGCAGATGTGTACTAGTGGCTGTGCTTGTGTATCATTGATTTGCAGTAAATCGGCTGATAATGTTCAAGGCAGCAGCTCTTGTTGGGAAATGTATCTTTTAGAAGAGGAGGCCCCTATGGCTCTCTCCCAGAGTTCTCAACCCCAAGCGCTCCTGTTCCACGGCTGTTGGTATGGGCTGTCCACATCCGTGCTCTAGCAATTTTGTTGCCAGGCCGTGGTCACGCTCTGGAGATCTCACCGCCAGGCTTCCAAACCAATAAGGCAGAGGGGAGAAGCATGGCATGTACTTCTACAAGAGTTGGTCCATTTTCCCTGCATGTTCTAGTGGGGGACGCCATTTGGAATCTAGATAAAATGGGGCCACTGTATGATAGTAGACCAGTGGGGGACCTCGCATCTCCAACAGAGTGTCCTGCTGTTGGTGACAGGTTTTGCAAGAACTCTTGTGATAAGGAGGGCTCCTGTCTCGGACTTCAGAAACAGACTGTGGTGGTGACTCGTGTGGACAATCATGTGAACATTCCCTGGCCTGAGTTGTTTTTGCTGTGGGTTCTCTTGCAGTGGAGAAACTTCATGCAGTGTTGAACAGAACGGCTTCAATCTGGAGACAGACTAAAAGTAGGAGACGATGCATGAACTTTGCTTGTCCTGTCTTCTGAAGCTGAGCCAAGATCTTGTTCTTTACCAGAAGGATGAATGTTGGCTGGCCGAGATTCCAGAGGGGCTCTGGAGCTTTTGATTGTTCTTTATGCTTCTGCTTTGATTTCTTAAAAGAGGCCAGGTCCGAGCTGGCAGGCTTCTTTTTCTTTGAAACTGGAGATGCTCTCGGCATCGAAGCCACTGTCCTCTTTGAAGAAATGGACTTTGGGGCTGAAGGCACCCTCAAGGTTGATGGTACATCTTCAGGACCACCTTATCTTGCATCACCTTCATCTTCTGTTGGTGCCTGATTGGTTCAGGTGTTTGTGGGAGGCTCCAAATGAAGGACATTCATGGTTGACTCTTGGAAGGTGTCTAGCTTTCCTGTAGTGTTGGGAAGCAGCACATTTAAAGGCTCCCTGGACACCCCATAGCTGCCCCCAGGGCAAAAGGAGCCCCCAAACCTAGAACCGGGGGAAAAGGAAGTCTTTAATCAGTGCACATTACCTGTTCCGGGTTATGCCAGGAACAAAGTTATGGAATAGGAATTTGCCCATTGTGTATCAACTTTGAAAGTTCTTCCTTAGAGAAATTACACATTGGGACAAAACGTCTGCTTTCACATATGTGCTAAACACACTAGGCAAGGGATTTTCCCCCCTTCCTTTTGAAGAGATGAATTTCCTGGCAGCTGCAGCATGGTGGTGGGCAAATGGAGGAAGTGGGCGAAGCCATCTGTCCCCTCCCCCCTCTTCTTCAATCTGGATTAAAAAAAGTTTTCCAGCAAATCCACAATAAGCCTCTTTTGTAAACAACCACCCAACTTAATTGGCCCGTGTGAAAGGGGGCGGTCAAGACGGCAGCATGCTTTCCCTTGCAAAAACCAACCAACCAAACAAAAATCCAAGACCCCAAGTACTGTGCACGCAACCTTTATGGCAAACAGATTTATTTGCTTGTTTTCATGGGCTGCTGTTCATTTCCTTCGAATGCCTCAGAAGTGTGCAAGGAAGTGTTTTGTCATCCACTAAAAGTGAAATTAGTTTAGTCTTCAAGGTGCCACCATGCATTGGTTTTGGATGCTAAACAAGGTGAACATGGTTACCTGGTCGGAAGTCTCTCTCTCTCTCTCACCTCTCATTTCCACAAGTTAGCCCTGGGCAATAGGCACTTTTCTGAGGAGCATCTCGTGTGAGGAGTCAAACAGAGAAGAGGCCACAGCTGGCAGGTCTCCACTCATTCTAACCTGAGGGTGTAAAAGGTGACCCTCCAGATGTGGTTGGAATCTTAACTTCCAGCATTTTGGAAGGGGATGATGGGTGATACAGTCCAAACACATCTAGAAGCAGGATCTTGTCCATTCCTAGTTCATACCATTCTTGTATTTTGTGGTCCCATTGGGGAGAGGCCTCTCAGATGATTAAAGTGTTGAAAAAAAAAACACCCCTATTGAAGAAAGGCTGATATCCTGATGGGCTTTTTTAAAAAAAAAGCTGAGAAAGAAATTGGACAGCACTCTTCTGAGATTATCCCACAAAACTGATGTACAGAAGAGAAAACAAAGAACTACTACACAGTGCATAGCAGAAGCATAAGATGACCCTTTCAAGATGGAGTGATGGCCACCCGCCTGAGTAGCATTAAAAATGGGATTAGGCAAAGGTAGAGGCCATGGCTATCTATCTTTCCTGTAGCATTGGGAAGCAGCAATGTTTTAGGGGCACAAGTCCCTTATTTGCCCACTGCAGGAAACACAGTGCTAAACCTCCAGTAAGCCATGGGGCTACTAGACTGCTAGTCTAACGTTCAACCCCAGGATCTCACCCATTCCAGTGAAGTGAGTCGAGAGTTTGGCGTTGCACACACTACTGACTCAAGATACGTTAGCCATTTATTTCGTCAAGTAAATGCAGAGTAGAGAGGGGCTGCCAGCCCAAACCTCTGAAGAATTACTGGCCCTAGACCAAAGCACAATTGCAACATGCCAATTAAACTGAAAAATTAAGGAAATTATTTAAGTCTGCAGTGCTCTGCAGTTTACAATTAATAATTATTCTGTCTTTCCCCCAGCAACTCCACAGTTTAATTCGGTCTCCTGGCGGCGGTGATAATGGGCAAAATGCGGGGCAGTGGCCTTCCTGTACCAAATCGGTTGAGGAAGAGAGACTGTTTATTTTACACTCATCATCTGCGTTAATGTGACTGCCCCTTTGAATGTTCATGACCCAGCCCTATATTCCTCTTCACTTGGTCCCCACTTCCAAAACCATATACAATGCATTAGTAACCTGTGGCTAAATACTGCGCTCCGTGTGTCTGCAGAACTGGATTTTAGTTGATTTCAGCCTGTATCACAAATACCAATGTCATGTCTTCTACCTCTAAAACTAACACACCTACCTCTTCAAAAATTACTTACTGCATTTACTCCACCAGTTCCCCAAGCATCATAAGTTTACCATTCTCAGCATGGAGAGGACTGAAGCAGCGAGTCTTAAATAAGTATATTTTGTGCACACAAAAAAGAAAAATAAAGGAACATTTGTAAACAAGCTTGCAGTTCATTTATACATTCAAGAATAGGCACAACAGAAGTCAAAGCAGTTTGGTTTTCAATGCAGAGCATCATCACTATGAGCAATATGTAAACTCTGGGGAGAGGGGGGGCTGCTTACCTGCCCATAGCAGGCCAGGAGGAGGTTAGGTGCACAACTCAATAAGGAGCCAACATTTCAGTTCCTATGAGCTGACAGTTGGTAATAGAAACACATTCTCCCTGTAGAAGAATACATCAGACCCTGTATAAACTGGCTTAGTTTAAAAATATAGGTATTTATTTACATGGTAGTCTGAACTTGCATTCTCTTGCTTAAGTGTTGCTTGTTTTGCAGTATACTGCCTGGATTGTTACATGGTGGTGGTTTTTCCTTTTAGTGACACCTGGTTCCAGCACCAGGTAGGAGAAGGAGGGACAGTCCACTGACTCTTAGCAGCAGCGTCCCTGAATAACAAAGGGAACTGTCCAGTCTGCTCTTCTGTGCCTGCCAACGCTCTGGACTTCAGACCTGCGTGGATGTATTTAAGGGGCATGTGGAGCAGCCGTAACTGGGGAAGGATTCTCTTCACCTCTGTTGAACTTATTTATTGTGCAATTTTTAATAATCATTGTGTTTATTTTTATATTCTTTTCTTTGACTTTCCTGGCCAGAATCTTAACCCATGGCGTTAATTTCAGCAGCAAATTGCTGCAAGTTGAGATGTCAGCAGAAGCATTTGCCACCTCGCACCTGTTGTGTACAACAGCAAAAACTTATCCTAACTTGCAGCAATTTGCTGCTGACATGTCCACTGATGGAGTCACAACAGGATTTGGGCTCAACTATGTTATGGGTGCATCTGTTTTTACTAAGTTTTACGACTGTACACCACCTTAAGCACTGCTTGGTGGTAGGAAGGCAAGAGTAATCAATGAAATAAATACATACATAAATAAATGTAGAATTGAAGAGACTGGGGGCCTTGATTAAGGAGGGTCTCCACCACACAGAAAATTCTATTTATGCTCAAGCAAATATGGACTGAATTCCCTTTCCAACCTTGAGCTTTTAACCTCTATTCACCTGCCTTGTTGGGGCTGACTGTGTGATCGAGGCTCTATTTGACATTTAAAATGGACAGGTGGCTTAACAAATGGGGCTGGACTAACAGACTGGAGGACTGGAGTTGGGAGCTGGAAGTTTAGCACACACCAGTGCCGTGATGTAGAAGGCCAGACAGATATCTATATCCCCCACCTCCCCACGATGGTTGAGAATAAGACAAAATTAGTACATAATGAGCAAAAGGTCCTGGTTTTTCTTTGTTTGTTTGTTTTCCTTTTAAAGGCAGTGGTGACTTCTGATGGTTCTAGGGGAACACTGATGGAGAAAGTCCTTAGCATGCTGCTGTTCCTGCAGGAAGGAAAAGGTCACTGTACCATGCCAGTCAGAAGAGTGAATTTTTTTTTTATTATTTGGTTATTGTTCAACAACAAATTCAGTACTTTCCAGGTGTGTAATTTATTTCTGTTGTTTCTTTCCCTTGTTTGCAAGAATAAAAAGGTAATGAAGGCAAATCCTATTTGGTAATAATGCCTCATTTATGCTAACAAGCTTCTGCTCGCAAATTTAATGTTACAATATTTTCTCCATGGGTACCTGAAGGGTTATGGGGAGGCTGAAGGCAACCGCTCCACAACCGCCCTTAAAATAAAGAGCTAGTGGTTGGAAAAAAATGCACTTTACAATAAAAAAGTAGAAACTGATCTGATTTCTTTTTGTTTTGTTTTTTTATGAATATAAAGTTTCTTGTAAATATGTACAGTCCTTTGAGCTATTCTATAGCAGGAAGCATTTCACAACAAGACACAAGATTTACACTTTCAGGACTCGACAAGCCGAGTTTTCAGGTCATAGGGGACTTTTCCATGAGATGCAAAGACCTAAAGTATCTTTCGGGACACCCAGGCCCAGAGGCAGAAATCTCAGCATGTTTCCTGACAAACCATCTGATATACAACAGCCCGATGACACCACAGACCAGACCCTGTTATCCACAAGACCCTCCAAAAAGGGCACTGATGCTTAGAGAGAGATTTTTAGGCACCTCTCCAGGATGGCAGCACCAGCTGGCAAAAGGAACAAGCAAGAGAGATGGGCGGGTTTGTTCTTGCCAGCTTGGAGAGAAATGCAGCTAAAGCAACTGGAACGGCCAAAGCCTAACTTGGAAATAAATCTGCCTTGGCGCTCAGCAACACCCAAGAATGAGAAGCAAATAGAGGGTGGCTTGCAGTTGTTTCAAAAAGGGATGGAGAAATGTTTGGCGTTTGCCAAAGCTGTTGAATCGCCCTCTCCCTGTACTGTCACAAGAGGTGGGTTGCCACCACTACGTGCAAAAAAAAGACCACTCCACGGGTCTTTTATTTTTGAGGTTTTCCGCCCCTCGTTCTTTTCATTATAGTGGTGCTTTATTAGGAGTGGCTGAGTGTGGCTTGCACCCCAGCTGCAAGGGAGTGTCTCCTAAGCTTGGCCACCGTCCATTTCAGGGAGGGCATCTGAAAACAGGATCCTATCTGATACGGTCTGAGGATGGGAATGCCATCATGCCTCGTCAAAGCTCTGTTGCCGTGGAATCAAGAACCATCGCTCGTTCTCCTTCAGTGCCAGTTTCCCCAGTAAACAAGGATGGTTTTACTGTTGCAGCATAAGCTATCAAGGCTTCAGCTCAGTTAACACGGGAGGTACAAGATACAATATCTAGCAAAGCAACTGAAAAGAAGACGGCAGCCAGGATGATGGTGTTGCAGTAAGCATGCAGGGAACTGCCATGCAGAAAACCTGGGTAAGGGGCCAAGGGGGGGGGATTTACACCTCGCGACTGCTTGAATGCAGAAAGAGGGGAGCGGGTTGTGACCACGTACTTTATGGGATCGGGAGATGTTTGGGGAAGAGTTAAAAGAGGACATTCCCTTCTCTGTAACCCGGCTGACCAGAGAGCTGCATTTAACTGCTATATTAAATCCCAAAGGGTTTTGGAAGCAGAAGCTGGAATAAACTGATCAGGTTATTTCTCAAGCTCTGCAGAAGAAGCTTATGATGCTGGGTACCGAGACACACTCACGGTGGCCTTGACTGTTCCTAGGCCTTTCCAGAATACAGCATCTTTTCCCCAAATGCTGATAAGCCACACTTTTCAGACTTGGGTGTGAGGATCCCCATCCCATCGGGCTTCATCAGTGGGGCTGGCAGAAGGCTAAAAGCGAAGTATAAAAAGTTTATGAACTGCTTTGAAAGAGCAACGGTAGTACAAAGTGCCCAAAAAGAGGGAGTGGGAAGGGGAAGGGGAAAGAGGAAGAGAGCAGAGAAAACCCAACTGCAGGAAGCTGTAGGAAAATAAACTGAGATGCACACGTTTCCTTGGAAGCAACGAGAGTCCTGGTGGATTTGGATCCTGTTGCCAGAACCATTTCGGGCCCAGCGCTATGGATCGGTGGCTGGCTAGGCAACTAGGTAAGAAGTGCGGAGGGCCTGCTCAGTACTATTTCCTTGGTTCTTCCTGCAGTTCAAGGTCAGGGCAGGCTTGTGTAGCTTATACTGAAGATTGGTCCCAGACCTGCGACAGAACAAAAAAGGGGCACGTGAATTCCAGAACAGCAACCCCTGCCGCATGCATACGTCTCCTGTTGTCCTATTTCGGACTCTAAACAGGGCCAGATGTAGTTAATAACACGATGGGAGACCAAGAGGGACTACCAGCGATCTCTAAGCAAAATGAGGAAGAACTCCTGCCTCAGCCCCCGGGGAGCCCCTGAGAACACTCGGCTAGAGGATCCAAAGAGGCCTGACTCAGCGAAAGACGGCCGCTTATGTTCCCGCATTTGTGGAACGAGGAAGGTTTTCAGTGCCAGGGGACGGAGATTCACAACATACTCGTTCAAGCAGAGATTTCCCAAGGGTTAAAAGGCAGCTGTGGCTGCAAAGCTGTGCGGTTCTGCGGCTGACTGAAAAGCTTACCAAGCAAAATCCCTCCAGCTCCTAAAGCACCAAGGCCGTGGGGGCAGGGCATGAGACAGCCTCCTCCTCGTGAGTTGGTCAGGTTCGAAGTGCTTTGGCCCAGTGGCTTCAACGGCCTAGAAGACCAAGCCCTCCCTCCCTCCACCACCACCAGCCAAGAGGGTGAGACTCCCGCACAGCCTAGCCTGCAGTCACTACTCACCTTGTTGACTTGGGAGAGGGGGGTCCTCGCGCCTCCCACCTGCATCCGTCCCCTGCTGCTCTCCTCAAACAGCCTCCCAGGAGATCTTTCCCGGCGGGTGCTCAGAACGCGGCCGGGCGATTTCTCCCTCTCGAGCGGCCGTCCGGGAGACTTGTCCCTACGGAGCTCCGTCCTTCCCTCTCGATAGCGATGGGGTGTGCTTGGCTCTCGAGGGTGGCTCGGACCTTCCGGAGGCCCAGGGCTGGATGCAACCCGCTTGGTTATGTGCTCATTGTAGGTTGGGGGGCCTCTTTTATTCGGGCTGCTGTCATTCAAAAACAATGGACGTGGACAGCTGAGTGACAAAAATCTTAAAGTTACATGTTTATTAACCACAGTTCCAGT